TGATTAAATTGATTTCTCATATTTTCCTGAACTCATTTTCAGTCTCTTCTTGAAATTCACAAGATGTTAAACCTTGTACGGGAAACAGTCAATAGGCTCAGGCCTTTTGAGGTAGATGAGGCTTCTTATCAGAAGGAGAGATATCCGAAGTTTTTTGTTAGATTAAAAAGAAAATCACACCTGATAATGGAACTTTGGGAAAGACGAGAGGAAATTGACAAGCTTATGACGGAGGTGATCAAAGTATCTCACAATGCTAACAGAAGATTTTCAGTTTGCATTGACAACATTTTATATTTAAGTCTAACCAAAACTTAAAGACCAAATTCTTCAATTCTTCATGTATGTATATGAGTATATCAGCAACAAAGGATGTCTATAAAATTAATATGAACAGCTTATTATCTTCTTCTTATCCCTAAATTGAGAAGCATAAGTTTAATAAAGAAGAAAATTTTCAGTAATGGGATAAAACCAGTATACTACATACTCCCAGTCCCCACCACGAATGAAAAACAGAAGAAGATAAAAACCCCTTCTCATGTGACTGTAGATTTCTCAATTTCCATTTTTGTGCAACTTGCAATAAAAATTGCAGCACTAAATAACATTGAACCTGGAATGAAAGATAATCAGGGGAAAGAAAAGGCAAAAACGAGAAACATTGATCATAAATATAGATTGATTCATAGGATACATGTAAACCATTCGAGGAAGAAACATATATTTCCTTTAATTTCATACAAATTGAGAATTTTTTGTTACTTACCTGGCGATAGCAGTCGAAAAATGGAAAACTCAAAAAGCTATAAACCCAGATGGGCATTGCCTTCAATAACTTGCCGTGACCATGAGATTGTTTTTTGTTGGATGCAGAGTACTGATTTCTACGTATTAGGGTAGGAGATGCATATTTTCCAATTGCATGGTATGCTTTCACGGTAATTTGTTGTCAATTGTGGAAAATTAAGGCTACGCTCCTGAACCTTCTACGGGCTTGTGGATTCCCAATCTCTGAAATTGAGTTTTCTAGTCCCTGCCTTTTTTAAATATGTGAATTTGGATGATTGAAACCGTCAATATAGATATATTATATTCACATGTGACTGTCAATTAATTTGGAGAGAAATGATTGTTGAACCTAGGAATGCAACCCGCAAACTTGGCCCATTGCTTGTGAAGCATAAAGTGATATGTGAGGGAAGTAAACTTCTACTTTGCACAAAGTTGGTGAACCATTTTCCAATCCAGGCTGGCTACAGACTGTTAATGAAAAAACACATTGGTCAATGAATAAAACGTGATACTCTTAGCGATCAGTGGCGGATCCATGATCTTGAGTGAGTACGGGTGGCCATTGACCGTAATAAAATATTAAACATTAAATATATCAATTACTTTGCTAAAATTGAACATATATAATTTTGTTATATTTATTGTCCTTATTCACCAAATGACGTAATTACCAAACTTTGCATAATTCAAAAGAAGAGCACGTGTTCGAATCTTTCCAATTACATTAAAACTACTAAAACTGATAATATTATGTTACAATTAATGTCAAAATTCATCGAGTGTCATTATGGTCAAGCTTTTCATAATCTAAAGGCGAGCACACAAGTTCGAATTCTCCTTATTGCATTAGTTTTGGTAAAAAAAAAAATGTTAAACTTGAATAATTGCACAGTAGAGATTTGATTCCAAGAATTCAAGTTTAAAAATGAATGATCTAACCAACTGAGCTACAACAAATGTTTGAAAATAAAATGAATTACTAGATATATTATCCAAAAAATTGTTTACTGTCTCGAAAAAATTTATTCCAGGCGGATCCAGCACAAGTGGCTGTCATGCTCGTCGAATGCTGGATCTGCCATTAGTAGTGGTGATCTTGTGGATAGTGATGCTAATCCAAAATGGCATAGGGAGGAGACACATGCAAATTGCAAGCTAGCAACTCTCCCGCTCAACATCACGACTTAAGAAAAAGATATCCATTACAAAAACGATCCAGGAGATAGTTGAAAACCTAAAGGTGTTAAGGCAGAAAATGTGTCGTTGTGCTTAAAAATTGAGAATCCAGGACGAAATTGGTTGGATGAATTTGGTGAAAATAGAGAAAAGCATGTTGCGAGCTCTTTTTGCGAAAAGAATAGCACCATGTAAACGTCAAAAGCTGATGATAGCATATTGAAGAAGAAGAGGAAGAAGTGATGCGAGGCTTCTAAATCCGTTCTAGGAAAGTCTACAGGCGAAGTAAGCTCAAACGACAGGAGATCTACTCCATAGATGGATAATGATGATGAGTATGTATCGTTTTCCAAAGAGATCATGGGGAACCCATTCTAGATAACTTTATTCGCCCAATTATGGATAAATACAGTAGTAAGGGTGATCTTATGTACTACTTGTGTGAGTATATGACACAAATGAGGTTGAAGAAAGTGAGTCATGTGCTTAAGTACCAATGCTTCCATTTAACAATGGATAGAACTGCCAAGAGATGGTATAGCAAATTGCCTCTAATATCAATTAGAAGCTGGTAATTGAAATAGGCCTTCTTAGGACCATTTGTCGAAAGCAAAATGGGCAAGTGCCAGCCACACAGTTGAATGACTTGTGACAGGAAGAAGGCGAGTCTCTCAAAAGCTATTTTGTATGGTTTAGTGTAGAATTAATCACTTGCGACACTCTATCGGATGAAAAGGCCAGAGATGCCTTGTGGAATGGTTTGCTAAAGAGACTCCCTTCTGACGAGATGTCCACAATTGAAATCAAACCTCTTATCATCAGTTGGTAAACTTAATCTAGAGCGAGATTCAAATAGAGGACACAATTACCAACCAAAGGAAGATAGAGCATGTTTGCACATAAAAGCTTACAGGTAAAACCTCAGCATAAGCACTACTCACATTATGATGACCACGGAAAGGATCAAAAGATGCACACTATACCTTTGGCCCCTTTACTGGCCATAGGTGAGGATAACATTTTCCCTAGAAATCAAAATGTGAAGTTTTACAGGATTCATCACTCTTGAGATCACAATACAGATGAATGCTATGCGGTACTGAAGATGGCAAAGCTACATAGTCAACATACATGTTCGCACGGAATGTCTGAGAGCAGAAATACCACCTTATCCAAACAATGGATGAGGTCGAGGAATCAGACCAAGGCATGCCAAGCCAACACGAGCACTTGCGAATGTTTCCAGCTCCCAAACCCCAATAAGGGAGATGAATGCCATAATCGGATGCTCTTATATAGGTGGAGAAATAATGAACGCACAAAGAAATTACGCTCGCTCTGCCAAAAAAACTACACATGAAGTATTCTAAAATTGAGGTAATCCTAAAACTGCATATCTTCGAATTACATTTAATAATGATGATGAGCAGAGAAGCATATATCCCCACTACGATGCATTGGTAGTGAGAGCTTTAATAACTCGTAGTGACCTCAGCTGCATACTGGTGGATAATGATAGCTCTGTAAATATTTTGTTTGAAAGTGTGTTTGATCAAATGCAGGTTGAGTGTTCAAATGTTACATGAAAAGTGGGGAAGTAAGATTGCGACCAAGGTCATATGAAATATAGCATATCCAATGTTAACGGAGTTTCATATTGACACTGTTCAAAAAGAAAAAATACTGTAGTTGAGAATTTAGAAATTCACACTTGAAAGTTGTAAACAACTTTGCAACAACATTAGCTACCTTTTGGCCCCCATTTTAATGTGTTTTTTTTTACCACAACTCACTTTTCCACGATATTTAGCAGACAACGCCTTCCAACCACTCAATTAGGTGTCAGAGATGTATACAGAAATGAAAATGCCGTTGAGACTTTATGACTATTTTACCCTTAGATGTAATTTGGAAATTTACGTAATTGCCCTCCACCATTTTTAACCCTACCATTCCATTCTTACATCCTACTGTGCTTTTTCTCCAATTGGTATACTCCACAACGAAGAAATCGACTTAACGCAGCCCCAATTGAATAACCATGTTACGTTTTTCACCTGAGACCATTAAGTAGTTTCACGCACCGGCATCGCCTCTCTCTACCTCCTCTCCGTCGAGCTAGTCCATAACCTTCATTTTTCACGCCTCAATCGAACCTCCTTATTGGGTTCCCACCAGCAAGCAATACTTTAGTAGAGAAATTTCCACAAAACATTCATCTTCTTCGTGTCGGCATCGCCTGTCTCCACCTTGTCTCTGCGTATAAATCTAAAGAATTTCATCTTCCGCAGCTTGGCATCGATGACCACAAAAAAAATGAAGACCTCAAAGATGGCAAACGACGGATCCTAGTGGCATTATTACCTCGAACACATGGTAAGCAGTTTCATCTCTGATTTTTCAGCCCCAATTTTTTGTCCACCTGTAGTGTCTTTCTCAGGTTAGAATTGGTCCATCTTCCACGGAAACTATGATCTGCCCGTGGTTTTATGTTATGATTTTCGTAACCAATTTTTTCTTATCCTAGTAGTGCGTTTATGTGGTAAGATTAGTCTACAAACGGAGCTGTGATGTGCCTATGTACAATGTTTTGTGTTTTGTTTCAGAATTCTGAGCTTATCGTTTCTGCAAATTTTTCGTTGCAGTACTAGTAGTCTAGACCACTTCGACCATACGTCGTCGCATCCACAGGAGCCCTAGCTCGTGGTCCATAAGTCTGCCAAATGAAACCCGTCGGAGCACAAAATCTTCATCGCCACTTGTGAAATTGTCATTGTCAAAGGCCATCGACGAAGCAAATGCTTTTCATCAAAAGGATGGCAAAGTATCTGTGAATTGTTCAATAGCTCCGCGGAAAAGATCTAGAATATATTGCAGATGAAAAACTATTGGAATAAACTGTTGACAGAACACAAACACCTCTTTGAGTTGCTGCGATGCACTGGTATTGAGTATGCTCAAGTACCAGTACAATCCATGTCCCTGAGCATTGGTGGGAAGCAAATATCAAGGTACCCGATTGTTTTCCCTTCATTAGTCAGTTGTAAATGAATTTTCTAATCATTTAACATTTTAGTAATCTATGGAAAATATTTTGTTGTAGAGGTCTATGTGTTCAATTATTTCCAAAAATAATGTGTGTACAAATTGTGGACACTGCAATGCATTGGTAAAATACAAAATCTATTCTTGTGGTGCAAACCTTCCCCGGATGTGTATGTACATATGTTGATTGGCTACTTGCAATTTCAGAATACCAATAGTCAATTATGTTCTATGAAATCGAAAGACCTAGCACTTTTTAGTTTCAACCTTATTATGAAATAGACAAATTGAAATCTAAAACATATGAAAATGAAAACTATATGGTACGAATTTGATCGTGTCTCTTTTGAGCATTTCACATGACTATTTACATTTTTTAGAGCTGCTAGGAATAGAGATATATAGGTAGAGATTATTGTCTTTTTGTAGTGCAAGAAACATACGAAATGTGAATTTTTTATGTTGTATGCATTGGTGTTTGGAAAAGTTTGTCTGTCTTAGTGTTTTTATTATGCGGCTCATTCGTTATTGCATTAGCAGATAGTATACATTACTGCTTAATTGTAGTCTTTTTTCCAACGTTTTATTCCATTTCTATTTGTGTCTTTGATGTTAAATGTTAAATTTACATATGTTTTTTTTGTCCGAACGTAATTTGTTGTTTTCTTGTGAATTTAGGATAACCCAGAATATGCTAAGTGCAAGGACTTCGACTGTAGTGAGATCTATGAAAAGTATGGTAAATTGTTTGGCGACACTCGCGATTCAATGAAGTATGTGTTGTCCCCAACAAAGCTGTCACAAATAGTGACAGGACAGAGGCGACTGATAGTGACAAAGAGGACGGAGGAGACAAGTTGCCCATCAACACGGAAACAACGGATTCCAGCAATAGCCCCGTCAAAGATAGAGGTCACACATCTATGAATATACCGAGCAGACGCAGTGAGGATAAAAGGAAATGCAAACACAAGAAGGATAAAGGAAAGGAAAAAAAAAAAAAGAACAGTGCTCAAGAGGTATATGCTTTTCTTGAGCAAATGGTTAGTGTTGGAACGGATCTTGCCTCAATTACGAGATCTCATCAGAAGGCAGACATGTCGATTGACAAGTGCATGAGTGAACTTCTATTGTTTGGGAATGTGAGGATGGTGCGACGCTACACTGTTTGAGCTATGGCTCCTACGAGTAAAGGAAAATTGGAATTCGTACCCTGCTGCCAATACACCGTACTTGTGGTTTAAGTTTATCGAGTACTACTTCGAGCGGGACAATTAGTCTTTTCCGCCTAAGGGGCAAGCATTACTTGGCGTACGTGTGCACTGAGGCCTTCATTTTATCGCTTTATTTGTAATTTTTTCGTGTGCTGGACATTTATTTTAATTTTCTTGTATTTTTTTTTTATGGCATGTACAACTAGATTCAAACCGTGTTTGTAGTGTGTACCTTAACTAGTTGTCATTTCTTGCTTGAAAAATGCTTGCTATTTAGAAATTGGAAGCTTTTGCAATATTCGAAAATATGGGAAATGAATGCTTTTGCTCCGTGTACAAGCAGTGTGCAAAAGTTGACAAAAAAATCTAAAATGATGGAATTTTGAAATCAAATTTTTCCAAAGGCCATTATTACTCAGGCCTATTTGGTACACATTATATTTTTCATTCTCATTCTTCTACTCATTTTCAACCACACATTTTTCAATAAAATAATATTTTCCATCACATCAATAACGTTTCCTTCATTTTTAACCACACATTCTCCATCAATCTACTATTCAATAATACATTCTTTCAAAAAAATGTGTCTCAAACACACTCTTAATAATATTAACAAGTTCAATAATATTAACAACTATT